TTGCTTTACTCATCCAGTAGGCTTTGTTAGCTCTTTGATGACTCTTTTACATCAGTTTTCACAAGTGAATGTAATCCAGTTCAGAACATGCATCAGCCTCTTGTGTAGATCATTTACGAGGCCGCAGTATTACTTAAATAGTTGTCCTTGAGCCCTGACATATTGTAAAGGCATGCTTTGTTGCCAAATCAATACTTCAGCTATTAACTTTTACCAAATATGGCACCAGGCTATACTTACATACCGCTACACCACCAAGTACAGCTACTAAGACGCTTCATTTGCTCAAGCTGTATAAATGTAAATGCACTGAGACCCTTATTCATGTCTGGCTATTCGTGTTTGTAGCATTGTGGCCTTAGGGGACCTTCTCACAAAATGTGTTGTCATTGCTTTTTATTAATGCCACTCTTGTGGCCAGAAGACACAGACCCCCTGACTGTTTTAGAATGCAATTCACACATGAGCACACACACACAGTCAAGAGCGATATATGTGTGCGTTTGTACATGTAAGCTACAGAGGAAACATGCTATTTCCGCTGTAAAGGGGGATCTTTTGCCACGGGGGTCAGAGCTCAAAGGTCAGAGATGAAGAGGTCACACAGTTGCACCATCTGGCCCACAGAACCTCAAAATATCTGGCAGCTCCTTCTATCCACAACACGAAGTATTCTACAGAGCTGCGTTTATTTGGCGTATGCAATATCTCTGTTTGTAGCAGATAGTTTGAATGGTTCCTACTGTGTCTCCTGATCAGGATGCTCTTGTGTGGCAAGCGGAGTTTGGCTATCCAGAATTAAAATTACAGATAATATAATTCTGACAAGTCATATTTACGCTGCGACGAGTCAGAATATTTTTAGAAGACAGCCATACCCTCCAGACTATTAAAACAACATATATATCTGTACCTCATATAGGACTACTTAAAATAACAGTTGCAGATATCTCAAACATCAGCATGACAATTTGAATTGCTGTGCATGATGTTGCTGCATGCTGCTAAGAAACCCTGTACACATAAATGATAAGAGCGATTTAATTTGTTGTAGGTAAGATGACAGTATGGATATCTGCGGTGACAGTTGGGGTGAGGAAGAATGACATCTAAAATTTTCTTTTTGCAAACTGACGGATATCTTCATTGCATAACCGGTTTAGCTATTAGATGTTGAAACAGCTTGCCATATTCGTGTATGTTTTCAACATTGTTTATCTGCTGTTTCCTTCTAAAGGGTTTTTTCGCCCCTGTCTAATGAATGTGATGTAGCGACTGAACCAATTGGTCATTCCAGACTGGTCACACATGGTTCACTCTCTCCTGCTGTTGTATAATTAGTTAGGTCTATGAGGTCAGGATTGCAGACATTCTCGTCTGAGTAATGCGCTCGGGATCACAGAGCAAGTATTTACCTCCTAGGGAGTATGTAAAAACACACCAACATAGACACACACAGTGTAGAATATCACACATACACATGTCCTTTCTTATCACACGAAGGAACACTGTCAAAGGTTATTCGCAGAGTCTTACGTGGATTCATTTCAGCCGAATGAAAACAGCAGCAGACATAGCACCACACACAGAAGCAGCCTCAACATAAATAGTCTGGCTACCCTAAAAAAGAAGTCTCACAAGTGTAAAGTGACGGATTAGATTTCCTGGACTACAAATGGGGATTCTGCCGATCCCTCACATCGTCTCTAAAGTGAAGACATGAGCTAGTTAGGGAGGGCTGACTACACTGGACCTTTATTTTGCTGTGACACCGTAGCACAACTGGCAGCCATGACCACCATCCTCATCACTGAAAGGACAGGGGCCAGGGGAAGGATGTGAGGAAATCAGGGAGCTTGGTGCGATGATGAGGTGGCATTATGAAATCTATTGCTATGTGGTCTGCATTGAACTCCCTTAAAATGAGGATTTAGTTTAGTGGAGGCCAAAGTCACATGTTTGTCATCAGTCAGAATGACGTACGTGGTTGTTGTCAATTGTTGTCCATTGTGCTGTGGAATAGTGAAGGGGCTGTCCTGCATGCTAATGTGTACAGATGGTTAGGTGATATGAACTGCACCACAGGCTGAAGAGAGCTTTCAAACGGTGGGAAAAAAGGCATGTTGCATGTGTAAGCCGTCTCACAATCCCAACAAGCTGCTACTGTAAATCATCTACATCAGCATTTATATATATCGTTTTCAGTCCGTACCAGAAGAAAATAAAGCTTCTTTCTTTCTTCTTAATATTCTTTACAAATCCGGTCAGCAGTCACTCGGGGTATTCTTCTATTTTTTACTCATTAAGCCGTTCTGTTTTCTCCATCTGCCTGCTGCAGGGTGGAGTTTTCTCCCTGCTTCCTAGCTTGGAGAAAGCTTGTTAAATGACTGTTGTTGGACCAAGTAGCTCTTTCCATTACATGAGTGTTTTCAACACCAGTGGACTAAAGGACGGGCATCTGTGCGTGCATGGAAAGGGACTATTTCTATCAAAGTTTGTAGATGCTTAAATATTTTATTCAGCTTGTTTATTCTTTAAAGTTAGAGCATATATGAGTGGAAACATGTAATAAATACTGAACATTTTCGTAAAGCATACTCATGACTAATACGAAGCTGTACATTAAGGAAGTAGGTGTGTGAGCGAGTCGCACCTAAACGGACTGATGTCATTCTATCAAACTCTGTTCTGTGGAATCCAGCGGCCCTTTGCCCCCACCCCTCACATACACCATCAAACAGGCTGTTGTGATAGACCTCCCACATACGCACACATAGCAGGGGCAGCCTTTAGACTAGTGCGAGCCACAGCACAGCAAGCAACAGCAGCGGCTCTCCGGCCAGACAGCAAGCTATTCAGGAGAGGGAGGAGGAGAAGGAACAGTAGCCAAAACCAACTCCCCCAACTCCTGCTGTAATCCTTCATGTCCCACCCCGGGGGCTCCTCTGCAGGGCTTTTCCCAGCTTAGTTTGGGACTGTACTACCGTCCACTGCTCACACAGGTAGGGGAACCTCCTCCTGTGGAGGTGTTTCTGCTATTTCCTTAGACAAGGCTGTGACTTACATTGAGGTAGCTTGTTGAAGTGTTTGTAGTTTAGGCAGTAAAGATGTAAAAATCAGCGGGACTGTGTGACTGATCGCCCGAACTGTGGGAGTCACATTTGGCTCCAAGGCAGGTGATTATAAAGGTACTGAAATGGAGAAAGTGAGGAGGGCTCTGCTTTCACGACTTATGTCTATGTTTATCGACATGACTGATGCATTAAAGGGGTGTGTGTGTGTGTGTGTGTGTGTGTGTGTTCATGTCAGTAGGGATGCATGCACAGCTTGATACTCACTTAATACTGAAGCAGTTTCATGAGTGTACTGATGACTTGATTTGGAGCCTCCTGTATTACCAGTTAACTTTTAAGGGCGAAAACATTGACTTTATCAGAGTATTTACAACTAAAGGAATCTAAACATTTGCATTGTGTTTTTGGTCCCTATTGACTCTGGTATTTATGAGAATTGTGTTAAGTATTGATCAGTCAGTGTGCTGACCAGTCAGCGGGTATACAACAAAGATACTGTCTAAAAACTGGACCCTCTAGAAACAACCATTGCCTCTTTTTCTCTGCATACGGTCCACCAATGTACTAAAGTAAACTCACTAACAGATTAGTAGTAGAAAACATGCTGTCATTTTCTGTGACCAAAAGCCACCAGATTTGTTTCCACCAGCAGCCTGACAGTGCAGCGGCTACAGTGCGCCATTCCCTTGGCAAGTTGCCTCAGGCCAGCCAAGGGGACCTTGCAGTACCCGGCTTGTGTACGCCCACCAAGCTCCATTACAGAGCCCCGTATTCACTAAAGCTGAGATGGAGATATCTATAAGTTACAGAGACACAGACAGCTTCTTTGTACAGCTCCTTTCCCAGCTGTAGAATCTGATTTGATTATCAGGACTTGTCCCATCATGGGTTATGAAGTTTCTTGGGAACCTTAAGAGACAGGGGGAGAAGAATTGTCTGACGAGGTATTGTTTATCTTTTTAGCTCTGAAGTATGTAAGTAACCCAAATTGTTACTAGTAGTTGAGATATTTTACTCTGGCATTACATTCTTGGAGAGCAGAGTCATATTTTGGTAGACACGCACCATATGAGAATATTAATTGGCTGGATAAGACAGTAAAAAGGCACACGTTAGCTTGTGTGAGTGCACGTGTGTTTTAGAGTTTTCAGTGTGACTCTGTATGTTTTGCTTTGCTTTGGGTTTCATTGGCCAGGAAAAGCCTCCAGGCCTTCCTTGCTCAGTGAGGTAGTTTTTCCAGTGATGACTAAATTCTTCTGATTGGGGCACCCTATTTCCTCCTCACTTGACTCGGTCGTGGCTGTGTGTGAATGTACAGTACAATAAGCGCATGTGCATTTGTGTTTGTCTGCAGTGCAGCATTCCAGCCGAGCTCATGAGAGAACAACTTTGTAAATTGCGTCTGTGATGTCCATTAATCCATTCCAACAGCTTATCCTGTTCACAGTTGTGGGGATCATAAGCAAATAAAATCAACAACAGATTTGTCTTCTGATATGCCAGCATTTCTCAGGTGGCACCGATTAATGCAACTGGCTTGAGAAAGTGCAAGGCAGGCTCCTGTGACTTCATCGTTTTTTCCACAGTGCATGCCACAGGCCCTGCTCATTTCCTGAAGCTGGTAGAATAGGTGGACATGAGCCAGTGTTTAATTTAACTGCAGCTGCCTTGGCTATGCCCATGCAATCTCCTGATACCCATACTTCTCTCTCTGATAGTTCCCCACACTTCCTAATGTCTTGATGAATCGCATGTGCTTATATTTAGACGGTTACTCATTTGTTTCTGAAGTGACCACGTAATGGTGTCTCTAAAAATACTTGGGCAATTGAAAATTAAGGGGTTGTGGAAAACTAAAGGATTGTTGATTGTCCTATTTGATTTAATGTGATTGTAATGAGACTTTGTCATCCTTTTGTGTTTTAGAAGTCATCCATACCCAGGGGCCCTTGGACGGCAGCCTTTACGCCAAAGTTCGCAAAAAGGATTCTGTTGAAGGAACAGTCACATCAAACGGCCTTCCACCCACTGCTGTTGAACATGCTCTACCCGCGGTTGACCATGCCTTGTCAGTGAGCAGCGACTCAGGAAACTCTACTGCCTCCATCAAAACTGATCGAACTGATGAAGCGGCAACAGCTCCTCAGGCTTCCACGGTGAGCCAGACACACATTCCTGTGGGTGAGGAGCTACCCTCAGTCCATCACCACGCCCCACCTGCCCAACAACCCATCAGTCCCCAGGAGAAAAAAGAGCTAGAGCAGCTACTGAGTGGCTTGGAGGGGCCAATGCACCGACAGGCCTACCTTTCCTCCCCGACATCTACTGTTGGAGGGATGCTTCACCTTGTGCCTGCGCAGGTCCATGTTAATGGGCACAGTACAGTTGACCGTGAAACCGACATTTTAGATGATGAGCTGCCTACAAGTCAAGAGGGCAACAGCGTGGACAGTCTTGGGACTTTCTCTTCCACAGATGGTAGGGCTACACCGGCTGATCTTTACTACCAGTCTGAGTCACACATCAATGGCCAGGACCACGTGCCATATCTGGAGCGCAGTGTCCCAGAAAAGCCTCTGGAAACCATCCGACCACACGTTGGAATATCTGACAAACCTGTCACTTTGATCCAAAGTGATTTAATCCCATCCTCGGGCAATTACATGGCAACCCAAAATGGCAATCTGTACCGATCTCAGTCATTTGGTGCCGATCCAAAGTCTATGCCACAAGCCCCTGCCCGCACCACGAGCAGCAAAGAGGCCGTCCAGCGTGGTCTCAATGTCTGGCAGCGGTTCGGAGTACCTGAGGAGCCGGTAACTGAAGGCCTCACTTTCAGTCCACCTCCCTCAGTAGCAGTGCTGCCCAGCCATCACAGCCTGCCACAGTTCCCTCATCGCCACAGCGCCTCCCAGCAAGAGATTGAGCAATCTATTGAAACCCTTAATCTCCTCATGTTGGACCTGGAACCAGGTCGTCCGGTTGTGACAAAATCCCAAAGTGCTCCATTGCGGGACAACAGCGTTGTGGTGACCACCCAGCCGTCCTTCTCCCAGAGCCAAACCAGGCCCTCCTACCAGGGTGACGCTGCCATTCATACCCACTTTTCTGGCCCAGTATCAAGCCTGGCCAGCCACTCGTCACCACCTCAGATGTCACCTGGGAAGCCCAGTACACCAGAGTCTGCACCTGTCCACGGATCTCTGAATTACAGTTCTGAAGCAGCTGGAACCAACACTTCCTCACAAGCCTCCCCTGCTGTAAGTGGCCACCTTCAGCTCAAGTCCATTAACACCTACCCGCCAGCCACACAGCCGGCAGAGGTCTTTGAGCCCCAGAGAAGCCCCTCTGCTGCCTCAGCATCACAGCAGCCAAGAGACAGTGAGCCAGATGAAGTCTTCAACGTTGAAGGTCTGGTGGCCCAAAGAGTTGCTGGTAAGATCTAACTTTAATTTATTTCATGCTGACACCTTTGTTTATTTGTGATTTCAGCACTCTGTACAAATGTTCGGAGGTGACCTTTATTTATTGAATTTTTTCCTGTCATCCTGCAGCTTCTTGCGTCCTTAAATGTATTTGTATGATCTTAGGGATTAGTTTTTCTGACTGTGTGGACACATAACAGGTTCAAATGTTTTGATAACATTTTGCATTAGGAATACTATGCAACTGAATCGGAGTAATAGTAATATAATACTGTAGAGGTCACCTGACATTGTGACTTTGGTAAATGGTCTGCACTTTTCTACCTCACTGGTACTCCAAACATTTACAGTGTTTCCCATTCACACACACCAAATGTGGCAGAACTGCCATGCAAGGGGCTTGCCTGCCACTGGGAGCAGCCGGGGATCAAACCACCAACCTTGCATGGAGAAACTAGTCTGCCACCAGCTGCCAAGACGTCACTTTCGCTTACAGAAGAAACCCCACTACTTAGTTTTATACACCATGATGGCACAGATAAAGACACCATGTCATGTCATGTAGTTCATGAAGCTGCTGTACATTTTTCCCCTGCATATACAGTTTATGCAATTTATTTGTTTGGGTTGGGCTTTAAGAGTTGACTCTGATCTTGCACTAGCTGATTTTACAGTACTTTGTATGCAAAGAATCGAATTTCTCAGTTTTTTTCCAAAATTGTCACCATGAGGCAATGAGTGGCCGCAAATGCAGGACAAAATATGCAGTGAACACTAAAGCTGATTCCATCATCTGCACACTGTACACACATCTCTCTTGGAAAACACAGCTCTGCCCTTATCTCATTTCCTGAATGTCACCTCATCAGTCCCCATCGTTCAGCCTCAAACAGGAAGTGTTCTCTCCAGCCGGGCAGGTTGACTGGCCTCAGATAAGCACATCAGACATCCTCCAGAGCGGCAAGAAATGGAACAAAGTCAACATGAAGCAGTGTGATAGCTGAGCACTCAGATAACAGGCGGCAGTCAGAGGTTTTCTAGAATAAACACAAAGCTTTGCTTCGTTTTACTGTCATTTAATGTAGAATAGTTGTTCACATCAAACAGCACTAAATGCTAGTGTAACGCTATCAGGAGGTGGAAATGTCCTACTGCTTTCTGTTTCCTCTGTCAAAGAAATGCTGTCTTCACAACTGGTTGTGACTGTAACAGCAACGTTTTTAATTTGTGGTTTTTATTGTGGGATTCATTTAGAAGTTAAAGTGTTAACTTCAGTAACAGGAATAAGTATCTTTTATGTAAACAGAACATTTCAGTTGCCTTCTCCTGTTCTTGTCAGAGACCTCATCCTCTACCTGCCTGTTTTCCTTTTTCTGTTTTTTCATCATCATTCTTCTTTCTTTCTTTCATCATTCATCTGTTTACCCAGAGTACTCGGCTCGTGTCCAAAGTGTCATCCCCAGCATGACCTCTTCTCAGTCTGAGCACCGCCGTTCTCACTCCCTCTCGGGTTGGTTCTCCCATCCTGCATGAAGGAACACTTAAAGGAAAAAAGGAGAAGTCCTTTTTTTCAAGTGTTTCTTCAGCCCAAGTTCAAGCCTGTATCTGCTTTGCCTTTGAGTGCAGTGGGCTTTTGGTTTGCATTTAATGATTTCTCTTTTCTTGTTTAATAATTGACCGCCCCATCTGCAGCTGCTCATTTTGTCTCTCTGTTTGACTTCCTTCCTTTCATAACATTTTCTCTGTCATCATCGGGTTTGAGGAGCAGCGGCATCATCATCAAACTAACCACTGATTCCTCTCTTCGTACATACTCACCCTTCGTTCCCGTTTGTTCTGAGTTGCAGTTCTCTTCCTCAAGGTTAGGGAATTACCCCAACTGTGGCGTAGAAACAAACCCAATTGGATAATGTTAAAGTTTCACAAGAAAGAGACAGGGGAAGCACAAAGGAGGCTCTGTCCCCTGCCAGGAGAGTGCATGTCACAAGATCCGTTTTGCCAAACTTGGGGAACAATACAGAGGCCAGGATACACTGGCCTCATTCAAGGCTGCTTTTTTCACTTGCACTATTTTCAAGATTTACAAAAACAGACAAAAGATACCAAATGAAAGAGAGACCACAGTCCTAGTTGGAAACATTTCTAAAGTAGTGTGTGTCCGCTGAGAGTTAGTGGCCACAATGCAGACGGGACTGTTCTGTGTGAGGGGCCAGTCTGGCCTCTTTACCACAGATAGCGGGATCTTTCACAGTGATGCAACAGAGTTAAATGTGAGAGGAGATCTCGGATTGTGGTGCTGGAATAAAGTTCTAATGAGATCACATCTGCAGCCATCGTGACATTTACAAACTGCGAGCAGCATTCACACATATTTCATAGTGATACTTTTATTTTGCACTTAAGAAAAGGCAAGTAAATTCTGTTATTGATTTGAACAGACTTTGCCAGGAATGCAGCCCCTTCAGTCTTACCTTAAATGACCTCTTCCAGTTGCAGGTGTGCACATATGGAAACTGTGGTTTGTCTCCTTTGAAAAGTAAAGAAAAAAGAAACCCACAGGATCACCTATCAAGTTTATGTTTTGAGAATTAATTCCATGCTTATTCCACATGATAGCTGGAATTTAAACGGCTAAGAAATGGGAGAAAAGATTAGAAAAAAAAGAGTCAGTCTTAGGGATTACCAGCCATCCCAGCTGGAAACCATTAGCCGTCACTAGGACAACAGCGTAGTGTTTGACAGTGCTCTGCTGTAGAGCGGTGTATCGTGGGTACATCTGGTTCTCAGTTTTCAGGCCTGGTGCAGTGGTGGGTGTTTCTGTTTTGGGGGTGTAGACTGCATGCTTTTCAAAGCTGTCAGAACCAAGGCTTTTTGGCCAACACCAAGGTATTTGAAGCTGGAGATAAATCAAGCATCCTAACAGATGGCATGACTGGCACTTGTTTATCATTGATTCCTTTCCATCATTTCATGAAATACTTACATAAAATAATAACGGTAATAGAAAACAGAGACATTTGGAAGGTTATGTTGGTGTCTGGAGCAAACTGAGACACCTCAGATTTTTTTTTTTTTCTAGTGTGGCAATGACAGCTAACTTCATTCCTAACTTTAGATTTTTACAGCTGCTATCACTAACTTCTGTCCACAGATATTTGGCAAAGTTTTCACTCTTCACTTCAGAGTGAAGCTGAGTGAAGGGGATAGAAGTATTTTTACCGTTTCCACAACAGTAAGGCTCCTAGGGTGTGTCTGTGCGTTCCTTTCCATGTAAAAAGACATCTGCCAGCACTAAGATGACAAAAGCCTGATGTCACATTTTTAAGGTCACCGTTAGCTTGTGTTTGCTTTTCCAGTTTCTCCCTGAGATCTTTACACCTGGCCAAGCCATTTTCTAGGTGTGAAGAAGGAGGTCCTTATAAGTAAATAAAAATCTTTCAAGAAACCTTCCCAAACACTGAAAATAAACGATAAGGCAGCTCCAGGTCCATCAAACATATTCATCCAACTGTTTCAGTGGCCACAGGATAAACTGCCTCAGATCAAACACCACCACAGAATGTATTATTCCCATTCCCAGCCTTACCCTCCTGTTTCTTAAACCTATTGTGTTTTCACTTCTTTCTCCCATTAACCTTCATCTCGTTCCAAAGTGCAGAGCAGCCAGTGGTAGTCTTTTGCACCGGCTTTGCGGCTCTGGCCAGCGTTTCGTGCTTTGCTGCTGCAACCTTCCAGTCAATGGCATTGGATATTAGCTTTAAAAAAAAAAAACCTCTTAACTTCAATCCTGTTTGTTTTATGCTGCTAGCTTTCTCTCCCTTTTTTCAGTTCAAACCAGATTAAGGAAAATCAGCTTACTGAGTGCTTTGATGTTCAGCCAGAACTGGCCACATGGACGCATTAAACAACTAACAGTCACTTTGTGTATTAGGAAGTCTTGATTATTTGTGCAAGAGAACATTTTCTCCCAGAATTTAAAAAAAAAAAAATTACACAGGAGAATAAAATATCACTTTGTGCACCTCATTTCCAAGGTCGGTTGGTGTTTGGCGTGGCTTTCTTAATGAATCTGCGGATTTTTGTATAATTCTTGTGACTCAAGGGCTTCAGTTGATGAACAGCTAATCTTCCATTAACCTTGCGAGTGTGCATGTTTAATTTGAAAGTTTAAACAACCACAGCCTCCAGCAAATGCTTTGCCATGTTTAATTGTTTGCAAAAAGCACACAGTGGCCCGTGCAATGAGCATTCACAGTGTGGCTGACAACAGTTAACATCTGGTGATGGATTGGCCAGAGTGAAACCCGATAATAGAGCAGCAGCGACCGGGGCCGTGTTGGAGTGTAACACTTGTCACTTTTACGGCTTCTCAGGCGTCCAGGCCCGCGCAATGCCCTTGGACGAGCCTGCGACTCTTCCCCGCCGTCGCATCACCAGTGAAGGCCAGCAACAGAATGGTCCTGAGGATGGTCTGTCTTCCGATGTCCCAGTTCGCTCCCCCATTCGCTGCGTTTCTCCGGAGTTTGTCAACGCCATAGCGCTGAACCCTGGAGGACGACCCAAGGAGGTAGGAAACGGACATTTTGGAATGTGTCTTCACCCTTTTTTACACCATGATAATGTGAGTTTGTTTTCTCATCTAACTGTTTCCCACTCCAGAGGAACATGCACAGCTACCGAGAGGCCTTTGAGGAACTGGATGGAGGTCACATGAGTCCCACACCCACAGTTGGTGGTGAGGTGTTTCCCCAAACCCCTGCCTTCCCCATCTCGCCGCAAACCCCTTACTTCAACCTGTGTAAGTCCCCCCCTCTGGCTGACTGAGGGCACTGTGGAGCTCAAGCGTACTTACGTATTTAGGACTTTAAATGATTTATATCCTGACTGAAGGTTGTGTCAGAGAATTATGATCAACCAGTAAAATCTATGAGCTCATGCAAAATAGCAAGTTTATCCATAGAAGCAAAAATTGAAGACTCACAAGTTATTTCAGATGTTTACGACTGCAATTTTTTTCTTTTTCAATATTCGCTGGCAAAAGTCTTTAAGTACCATTCGGGGGACCATTCATGCATAAGCCACTTTCACACACATAAACTGATCTTTATGAAGCAGTAATGTGCGATGACAATGTGTGCACCTCACACGTACTCACATCCAGGAACACACAAATTATAAGATTAAATATAAAACGTGTTTTTGTGTTATTTTTTTAAACCTACACAGCAATCTGTAAAACTTTCACCAAAGACTACTAAATTAACTTTAAATAGCTGTTTATGAGTGATGAACCTTATCATTTGTATTCACATTCCAGAGCCACAGGTAATGGTTGTGCATGAAGACAGCTGTGAGGCTTGTGCCCAGCTCCACACTAATGAGATTTCTAAAACGCAGCCAGGCCTGTGTGCGGTTTTTTAAATCTGGTGAAAAGACTGCATATGCATATTTCTGTCAGTTTTTAGTGGTAAATGTACACTTAGTTTTATGCATCTGACTCCAGGTGTTTCTAGTGGTGAAATATTTTTTTAATGTATCTTTTGTAGTTAAACTTTTATACATAAGTACTTCCACCTGTCCAACGCACTTGGCAGCAGGTCATAGTATATAACTTTATCGCTTCTGGTTTAACTAATGCAATTCTTATTTTATCCATGAAGTTACTTAACAGGTTGTCAGTTTGTCTAAACATTTCTTTTAGTAGAACAAATATAATCTAAACCAACAGTAAAAGACAGAGGTGTAAAAGTTTACAGATGACAATGTGTTTTATCTAAACATTTGTTTTGTGTTCATGTCTTCCATTTGGTACCACAACTGTGTGTTTTTTTGTTTTTTTTCAAAAAGCTCAGAAAACAGAAAAGATACAGCCACACATATAGGAACAAATACAGACACACACCCATCTTCCCCTCTTCACATCCCCCTCCCCCTCTCAAGAGAAGAGTCATGCATTAGGTAACATGTTCTTTGCCAGCTCTACCAATTACCTCATCCAGTCGTCTTGCCTATCTCCCCCAGGGCACACCCATAAAACTTAGTCATAAAAATGCACACTGTATTTTTAACACCCGATTCATGGCGTAACATCTCTCTTTCCTCTCCGAGTGGGAACACTGTGTACGCAGTCACACTCAGCAGAACATTTCCAGTCACAAACAAAGAAATCTTAAATGAAACAGAAGGAAATTTTACGTCCACAAAATCTTTTTCTCCACTGAGCACTGAATGTAGTTAACTGGTGTTATCAGTTCACTGGGAACAGTTTTGCAATTTCTTGCAAAACGTGTTAAAGGTGCATGATTGGCTAATCGGTCAGTGCACGTGACACCAGATTTATCTCCATTAGTAGTGTGTCAGATCACGTGTCCACGTAGCCTGCCCCTCGCCCCCCACACACACCACCCGTCATTAACGGTGGCGCATCGAGGTTTCGAGTACAAAGAATTGATTGGGATTCTTTGGTAAGTGGAGGATGCACGCCTCTCTACTGGGGTTCCACCGTCCCACAGCGTCAGCCATGTTGACCCCTGCCCCTTTTTGTCTGCCCGAGTGACCCTTTCCCCATCACTTATCACAGTCCTGCACCGCTTTGGCATGAGAGCCGCACGAGAGCAGCACTTTAGTTAAAAAAGTGAACACACTGCAGCTTCTCTGTTAGAAAAGGAGCAATATGGAAAATGAGAGTGAATCGTTTTGTGAAATAGCAACAGACTTTACACATGTACACCCACACACATACTGCACAGATTCACCATTAGTGTGAAGTTTCACACTCTCAGCAGTTGCTGCTCTCTGTGCTGTTGTTGTCATCCGTGTTTGGGTTCCTGTTGCTGCCTTGTTTCACTGCAACCAGCACCCTGCCTCTCCTAACCTCCCCTGCCGGTCTTGCGCAGCCATTTACGTCTTGTCCTTTGATAATAGCAATATGTTTCTGTTAGCCTGAGGTTTTTTTTTTTTTTAAACCACAATGATTTGTTTGTGTTCATGCTGGATGGGAAAAAGGAGTAGTTGGTGTTGTAATGGCAGGCTAGGAGTAGAAGACAGATTCACAAAATGGAAAAAAAGTCACCAGGAATAAAACATATTCAGTCAGGATAATTATAGTAATGCAGGTCTAATGACTGACTAAGGCTCTGGTGGCGACATACTCCACTCCTTGTCTTTCCCTCCGGTGTTAATAAAGCAGAGACTGTGTCAAAGCTCCTGCTATTTTATGGATGTTTAAAACTTTGTGGCAACAGATGCTTCAAAGAAATACAGTGCTGTTAGTGTCACAAAGACAACAAAGATTATAAGAGTCTAAAGAACTGTAAAGAACATCTGAGGAATCCCATGTTTCTGCGTCCTTTGAGTCCAGTTTGACCCGGCTCTGCTTTGATGTGAACTCGTGCTGGACACACCTCATTCTGCTGATGCTAGAGTGAGGGGTGTCGCTGTCAGAGGTCTGTTGTGATTGATCACATGCATGTTTTGCTCCTCCATCAGAGCATGAGGCATGGACCCACCCATCTGAACATGTCGCTCTCCTGTTCAACCCACGTAGATGTGAAACTGTGTCTTGACAGCTCTTTACCTGTTTGTAACTGAATATTAAGAGGTCGTCCACACAAAACGCACTAGTTTGCCTTTTAAAAAGAGACAGGACATATGGAAAATAATTGGAAAATAAATGGATATTATGGCAGCTTGTACACTGTCGTTCTACTCATAAAGGTATGAATTCATTATTAGACTGCGTCAGCAGGTAGCAGCTGTCAAGATGTCTGTGGTGTATGATTCTGTGTGTTGACAACTGTCCAATTTCTCCCTAGGTCGGTCCCCTCCTGGCCTCGCCAAGACTCCCCTGTCAGCTCTGGGTTTGAAGCCCCACAACCCAGCAGAGATTCTACTAAATCAAACAGGCACAGGTGGGTTGTGACTCTTTTCATAATGCAACATTTAGTGCTTAAAGACCATTAGGCAGGAGCTAAATGCTGTTTACTCACAGTTTAAACTTCTGAAAAAAAGATTAATTTAAATGTCAAGTCAGCTGAAAAACATAAAAATGAAATTAAAGACTGCGCATTCGCCAACAAAAAAAGCTTCTCAACCGTTAGACTTTCTCAAAAAGACTCTTTGTGTGTGTGCTAATAATATCCCTTTGACATTCAGTGTCTAACAACCACACTCCCTCCCAACACCAAACTGAATAAATACAGCACAGTAAATACACTCTCTTTCCAACACCCCTTTTTTGCATCTTTGCTATTTCACAATGTTTTGTTTCTCTGGATTGTCTCCAATGATGCTCCACAGATGATGAGAGCAGTGAGGTTGAGGAAGGTAAGACTGCTGCTGCAATGCCGTAGATATCGATAACTTTCAGGTTTTTAGTCTTTTCCACTCCATTTTTGTAGACATGTTGTTCAGTTGTAGCCCACCTACGTATCATGTGTGTCCAAGACGTTCCCATTTTTATTTCTTCTCTTGGAAAGTCACAACCACTGTCACAGCAGCATTTGACACGACAACATATTCATGCTTTCTGCATCCACGTGTGCACAAAGGTACGCGTGATGTGAACTTAGTCATCCACTCAAGTCCGTACGAGTTTGCATGGACTCCTCTACAAACATCTGCATGCAGCCCAAAATTTATGACCCCACAAACTGTCGATACTGAAAGCCTGCCGACTGCACATGTGCCAAGAAAAACTTAAAACAAATGCTTGTTCAGAGGAGAGACTGTGTGAGGAGATTCTCTATCATCCACACAGAATAATTTATTATTCAAGGAGTTGTAATTGAAGGAGTCACTGCTGGACTTTAGAGGTTTGGATTTTACATGCTTTCTATTAACTGTGCAGTCCAAGTTCTGCATTCTCCAGAAATCCCAAGCTATGTTCTCCAACTGTGCTCAACACACTTAAGGAATAATCAGATTGACACGGTGCCACGGCTCAGTCTGTAACTAGTTGCTTTACCCTGTATGAACTGCAGAGTCACAGCCTTTCAGAAACATCCACACATCTTGTGTGTTTTTCTGTGCTCAGTGTGAGTGACAATGCAATCATCTGTGTAGGACATGTACCTATTGCAGTATGAATAGAACATGTCTGTCTGCTTGCTAATCTGCACTGGTGATGCAGAAACCATGAATTGGCCTTTAGTCAAATTATTTCCACTCTTGTGCCACTCAACTATTTCTTTTGGCATTGCATCACCCTTATTGGCAATTGTGAAACACTCCACCCTGTAAATTCACAAATCAGAAACCACTGTATTGTCACATGCAATATAAAACTGTTGTAAATGTAGTAATATTTTTTTATTATTTTATTTTTTCATATGCAGCACCAAGAAGCTATGTAGAGTCTGTGGCAAGGTCGGCGCAAGCAGGCGGAGAGCCGCCCACATCACCTCGGAGCCTTAGCCCACCGGGAGACGCTACAAGCCAGCAGAGAAGTACAAGTCCTACCACCCACACACTGAACCAACCTTTGTCCAGCAGCAGTCCCATCCAGAGCTCACAGGGGTAAGTCATATACATGGTACTCATTTTCTTTTTACTCCAAGCCTGGATCTTAAAAATGAACTGCAAAGAAACTAATGTATGTATTTAAAAATGAACAAAAAAAAAATCATACATGGTTTTAGTGTTTTAAACAAAGGCCTGTCTTTTAAAGCCGCAGATGTTGTGCGCTTTGTGAGGAGATAGTCTGTCCATCATTCAGTTTTTGATTACTAAAAATACAAGTAAACTTAGATGGACACTTTTGGTCGGTTAACAGACTGCTTTCACCTCTCTTCCAGTGATCACCCCTTACCAGAGAGCAGTGTTAGCACTCCGTCCCAACCCACTACTGATTCTGGGTTCCGCTCCCAGGCTACAGAGAGTGCCTACCCGACTCCCACCCCATCATATCAAGGCCTGAACACTCCCACTTCTTCCTACCTGGACTCCAGCTCTCCAGCCTCTTCTTACCTTGGCACTACTACCCCCACACTGTCCTACCTTGGTCCTAATACCGTCTTGGGGAACTATGCAACCTCAGATCCCAGCCCACCCAACTCAGAACCCTCTCAGACCACACTCAGCCATGGAAGTCCTCATGCACAACGCCAGCCCAACATCCTTGGCTCCATCCAGAGTCCCGTCCTCCACAGTGACGAGCAAGATCGTCCCTTAATGGGCCAGCAAACATCACCAGCTAATGGTTTTGAAGTGGGCATGCCAGGTCTTGGTGGAAGTCCCATCCTTGGTCGCCGTCTGTCTCAGGGAGCCAAGAGCAGTCCGGTCCTCAGCAGACAGGCCTTTTTGGGACAGGGATCTCAGCAAAGCCCAGTTCTTAGCAGACAGCCGTCCCTGGGTCAGCCTATTCACGGCAGCCCAGTGCTCAGCCGACAGCCATCCCTCACACACCCTCAAGGAAGTCCAGTGTTGGGCCGTCACCCATCTGTTTCGCAGATGTCCCAGAGAAGCCCCAGTTTAGACCGTCACCCCATGCACAGTGGTTACACCACACCGGATGAAAGACATGGAAACCTGTCACGACAAAGCAGCTCTTCTGGCTACCAGGGACCTCCCACTCCCTCCTTCCCCATCTCACCCGCAGGCTACCAGGATGGGGGCATGATGGGAACAGGTATGGGGTTCAGGCAGGGAAGCCCAGCCCCTGGTTTCCAACCCCAGCTTCCAGAGAAGAGGCGCATGTCAAGTGGTGATAGACCAAATGGAGCACTGTCCTATGGAACTCTGAATGGGAAGATAATGTCACCAATGAGTGGAGGAAGCACTCCCAGCTACTTCCACACCCTCTCGGACTTCTCACGGTTCAATATGCCTGGTAAGGATATACATCTTATGGAGTTCTGTTTGACTCTTTCTATCCTTTTCTGAAATAGGCTGATTCAGATGAGGAGGAGGTTTATTCACAAGGCACTGTCTAATGTGGTAGACCCTCCCATTTATCAGACAGTATCCTTAGAGTAACCAAACCTTGGCATTTTGACTGCTACCTCGTTGCTAGAATTTGTTGCACCGGCATAGATTTACCAGTTCATCGGGTATTGTCTTTCTCATTTCCAAAGACAGTATTTTTCTCGAGGATATTAATGTCATTTGATATGGGAATTCAGAAACTGGTTGCATGATTTAAAGCTGGACTCTGGGACTACATATAAATGAAAATGCATTACAGTCAAGCCTTTACCAAACAAGTTCACTCAATGCTGATTAAGCCTTTCAGCACCAGATAAATCTCTGGATTTCACAGTATACTGGAGTTTTAAATCTGATGCACTGGTACCAGTGTATTTTATGTGAACCAGCAGTGATTGGTTTGGCAGAGCTGAAGAAGGGAACAGCCATAGCAACAGAGACAAAGTATAAGTACTCGGGCAGAAAAACTTGGGAAGCGTCCAAGAAATTTTTTTTGTTGCTCCAGATTAAAAACAAACTCAACATTTAGAAAAAAGGATTAGAGTCGAAAGGGAAAGTGATGGATGGCAAGGACGCACAACATGAGCATGTATCAGCAGTGTTTGTGTAATTATCCTCTCTGCCAGAAGGGGGAGAGAAAAGTTCAGCACTGCAGGTTTAATGAAGACCAAGTGATTATGTTCACATAAAGGAACGTTGAATTCTTACCACACCCAGTATAAGCAGGCAGTTAAAGCCAGTTTTGATATGCAAGAATTGGGAGTTTTCTAGCTTCTAGAATGGTTTTGGCAAGACAAAATGGTTTTGATATTTTAATTACTTCACATAGCATTCAACGGCTAAATAAGTTGAATGTTTTCAGGTGTGTTGTCAGTCCATTGTCTTCTAGTGTACTTTGGTCGATCCATTTCACAGGTGTATCAGCGAGGCAAAGGGGATGCACTTCTGTGATGATCTGTGACATTCTTGTTGTTCTTGTTGCAGATGGAAGCCCAGAGAGCAGGCTGAATGTCAAGTTTGTTCAAGACACGTCCAAGTTCTGGTACAAGCCAGACATTTCCAGGGAGCAAGGTAAGCTGCTGAAAGACTTCTTCATTTGAATGACAATTACTGTAACAATTCTTAATTGTGTTTATTCAAATACAGGTCCAAGTGAGTGCAGTTGTTTCAAGTAGTTTTTGTGTTCATAGTGACAGTTGTTGTGGCAATGTGCACAAAAATGTTTAGATCATATTTAGAAACCGTCCACCATAAACCTGTTTTCAATATCAGAGATTCAGCTCCATGAAGGTGATACGGATAAATCTGTAGCATACAACAACGCTTGTAAACAGCTGCGAGCAAGTATGAACACAAACTGTACATTTGGCAGTATTATGGCAAGAATGTGATCATACAGAGGATATTAATAGACAAAGGAGAAGTGGTTTATACTGAAGGGATGATTTGATGGAATACTACTTTGGGTTGGAGTGAGGGCACTCGTTTTTTGAAGCTGAAGTCACGGTGTTGAATTTCATAGAGAAGCCATGGGGATTCTGTGCCATCATCACTTTTGATAAATCCACGGAGACATATGCACAGTAATGATTATGCACATAGGCCTGAACACAAAACATTTCTGTGCCTGTGTGTTTGGGTTGTGAGGTCAGTGGCTATTGGCTGCCTCGTCTGCATTCGCTCATGGCCTGCGTTGGATTATATCATGTTAAACACAAGCACATGCTCAACTGCAATGACATCAGACACACAGAGAGTTTATACTTAGTGCAACGCAGGCCCAGAACGAAAGCCGCACCATATGTAGAGAATTAGGGAACATCTGCATGTGTTGCTCATCTCATCCATCTTCCTTCCTTAAACTGTCACATGTGGACAGGCTGGGGCATTGAACTAAATAGTGAAGTAAAAGCTCCGAAGCGCTCGTCCTTGAACAATGGAGTGTCTGAAGCAAAGTGTCGTGTTAGAGGTTGTAGCTCTAATGAAATACAGACTGACGGCCGTTTTTTGTTTTTTTTTTTTGAAACGAAGGGTCAGGACTCATTTCACCTTGCTCTTAGTCGTGCTGTACTTTTGACTTCTTGCTGCCTTTTTTCTTGGCTAACCTTCATGCTGTAATGCGCTGACTTTTTATGACCTCCAAATTCCATCACTAAAATTTAGCTACTGAAGTATAATGAGTTTTTTCATCGCCCACATCCTCTGTAGTTTTTCTTTCTCTAATGATAAGGACATGCTTCATAAAGTAATGCTTCTAACCATAATGTAATATTATTATGCACGTTCTGTTGTTTAGTATCGTATATTTTCATGTACTTTGACTGTTATGAGCCAAGAGACTGCAGGTTCATGTCAAACTAATATTCAGCTCTGATATAAATCTTTAAATGGTGAAATCGATGAAAAAATTAGGCATAGAACAAATAAAAAAAACAACAACATTAATGATAATAATAAGATCATAAACTGTGACTTCACCACTTTAAAGCTTTGAGTTTAGAATTTGGCCGTCACCACGTTGGTCATTTGAAACCGGTCGTAAGGATTGCCGGTTGGACCTAAATGACAACGTGAGAACATTGTGCACACTGATAAGTGGCCTGTCAATCACACAGTAGCCCCGCCCTAAAACCTACAAAGCTTTACCCTCTATTTTAATTTAAATAGCACCATAATTCACAACATGAACATCTTGCTTTCTTCAAACAGTCTTCAAACTACAGATTATGATTCATCTATAAGAGTATTAGCAAAATGTCTGCTGAGGTAACAGATCAAGGGAGAAGCCGGGTCATTTTCTCATAGACTTCTATAAAATCAGGCTTCTTTTTGCAAACAAGAAGTCGCCCCCTGCTGGCTGTTAGAAAGAATGCAGGTTTAAGGCTCTTTTGCATTGGCATCGATATACACTTTAAAAAACTGGATGAGATGGACACTGTGTCGGATCAGGTCATTATATGTGCCATCAGGAAAGAGGTGCAATGGACCAACTAGTGAAAACGGCAATCATTTATTTCATAGAATTTATACAATTTGTTTATTCATCCACGATGGTGTGTGACTGTTTTTATGCCAGTAGTTTGCATTCTGAGCCCAGCGACTCCACTATCTCGTCATCTGTGAGGATGTACTGTGGCACAGTTGCTCACATATTTAGCAGCAGTAGTGTCTTATTTTAATGGTTCTTTTTTCTTAAATCTGCTGGAACATTGTCACAAAGTATGGGACAAATTAAATGTCCTAACTGAGGATGTTGCTAATTTAAAAGTCCAAAGATCAAAAAGCGTCTGCAGGTTATTGTTAACGCAGAAGAATGACCTAACTGAATGTTGACTGTGTTGCAGCTATCAACCTGCTGAGAGAGAGGGAGCCTGGAGCCTTTGTTATCCGGGACAGTCACTCGTTCAGAGGGGCGTACGGTTTGGCCATGAAGGTGGCCTCTCCTCCGCCCTCCGTGCATCAGAGCAAGAAAGGTAGGGTTCAGGATGAAGGGTGACTTCAAAGCAGTTACAAATGCAACAAGTATTCAGTGTGACCACCTCCGTGTCAAGCGCAGCTCTGCTTTGTCCTTGTTTGGGTCTTAGGTCGGGCTGGAGACCGAATTAGAGTTAATAACTTAATACCAAAGATATGAGGTGATGTCTCCATGTTAATCAGCTGTGTGTTTACCTCCACTCACCCCTCTCCCCGTGTTTTGTCGCAGGTGACATCACCAACGAACTGGTGAGGCACTTCCTGATTGAGAGCAGCCCTAAAGGAGTGAAGCTGAAAGGCTGCCCCAACGAGCCCTACTTCGGTTAGTAGAAGCCTTCGAGCTGCCCTCTCTCATGCACACTGACAGCTCAGTAATGTCATAACGAGTCTGCAGCAAAAGTCAAACGTGTGTACTTTCCCTCTTTGTGCCTGCCCGAGCTTCTGTCAAAGATCTGCGCCCCTTTCCAAGTTCTCAAACGTCTAATCCTGCTGTAATTATAGTATTGACTGAAGTGATCTAACTCATGTTCTCCCTACTAATTACACTGCAGGGCTGTATGACGCGTGCGCCGGTGTTTTTGTATGCTTGTATCGTACGCTGCTCGTCTGCCAAATCCAAAATGGGACAAGCCAACTTTTGCAAACTGTTCTCCTGCCTCTCCTTGTTTCTTCTTCGCCTCCTGTCTTCAGCTCGTAACTCAGTTCATCACTTTTCTCCTTCTGTGTAGTCACTGTTGTTTTTGTAATATTTTATGAGTAATAATACCGAAAGGACACAACGTGCTTTTTTTCTAAATCACTATTATTTCCTTGACGTGTGACACTAACGAGCCGCATGCACCTGAAACAAAAGAGGATGAAATTATGACGCTAAATATGTTGAGTTTCTGAAACACAGTGTTTGCCTTCATGGAGACGGAAAGATAGAACGGCATTACGTTAAAATGTTTAATTTTAGCTGATTTTGTCAGTTATTGATCATTGTTAATGATGCATTTTTAAGGAAATAAACAGCATAACTTTTTTTTTAAGTTATTTTTTTGCTTTTATTACATAGGACTTGCAGCAAAGGACCATGAGCGGGATTCGAACTCATGGCCGCTGCGTCGGGGGCTGTAGTGCCTGTACTCAGGTCACCAGCTCAACCAGTTGAGCTATAGTGGCGGCCCTGACAGCATAACATATTTAATTCTTGAAATTTAGCCAATTTATCTAGGAAAGGGAACTAGAATTTTAATGTTAACACAAAAATGAAGAACACACATGAATAAAAAAAAAAACATATTGTCCATGTGCACTTCAACTTCTTGACCATTCGGCTCAGAGCAGGACAACAGGAATACATCGCTTCATAGGAGGTGGTGGGAGACACTGGGTTGTGGTTCTTCTTGGAACATGCAGGCCAGTAATGTGCCTTAATGGCGGTTTGCATCTAATGCATTTAGGTAAAGCTATGAAACTATTCTCCCATTGCTGTTTTTTTTTTTTTTTTTTTTTTTGCTGTTTTTAAAGCCTGAATCCAGGATCATATCCACTCGTCAAACTTGAATCTTTTCAAATTATTTCCCAAATCTCATTTAGTGATTTGCAATTAAATAGTTATTAATAACTACCAACTACCAAAGATTCAGGTTTTGCATGCTACAGTTTTAGTGATAAACACTGAGTTAATCACCATTTACATTAATTAGGTGATTCATTTGACTCCTGAAACACACCTGACTTTAAAACCTGAATTTTCCCAAACTACTTGATTCAAATAACTGAGGGCCTGATTCACAGCTATGAGCTTGTTGTTGATTTGATGATCTGCTGTAGTTCTCCTGTGTTTACAATGCCTGATCATTTCTCCTTTGCCAACACGCGACACAAACACAGTTCACTGGTTGTTGTACAGTGATGAGTTCAGTGGAGCTGTCACAGAATCAACGGGTGATATTCTCTACGAACACAGACGTTGCTCATTTAAACTGAAGAAGGCCAGGATCAGGGCTAATTAAAAATGAGAATCGTGCACCATGTGAACCAGCGTGTTGTTTCCCAGAGTAAATATGTAATAACGAGAAGGGAAAGGTGTCATTAGAAAATCCACATATTTTACAAACTTATAACCACGATAAACCTCACAGTGTTTTTTTTAAGTACAAGAATAAACTCCAAGTTTGCCAATTTCTAGACAGACAGCCACAGTTTTCTTTAAATGGACGCTTACTAATTAAAGTCAATCTCATGCAGTTTTGCTATTTTAACAATAGTACCGGAATTGTTTACTGACACTGGTAAGAAGTAGGTAAAAAAAAAAGTACTACAAGCCGGGAAGGTAAAGGGGTTTCCAAAAAAAAAAACAAAAAAAAATGTTCAAAGAGTCCGGATGCTTGTTTTTGACGGAGTGTTTTGTTTCTGTTTGGCAGGTTGTCTCTCGGCCTTGGTCTACCAACATGCTATCACACCGCTGGCCCTGCCCTGCAAACTACTCATCCCTACCACGGGTATGTGCATCCGAGTGTGTGTCCAGGAACATTTCTGCATTTTTTTAAAGGGTTGCTGTGTTATTTTTAAAGTTTTCTACAGATGAAAACAGTTTGATATGATGGACTGTTAGCATTCGCTTATTGTGACCAACTTTGATCTAGAAAAGAGTGAAATAAGTCTCTTAAGTTAAAGGGCTACTGCTGATATTTCTCTTACAATTTTTAGTGAATAAAACTTGATCAGAGCAGTTTTCATTTTTCATTCAAATATATAAATATCATCCAGCTGACCTGCATGTACAGTTGGGTTTTCTTCAGGTATTCGCATCTGTGGATATTTCAGTTGCTAAGTGCTGCATGCTATAGAACAGATTCCAATAACTGCCCTTATTGCAGTCTGATATTTAATATGAAATCATGATGAAAACAAACCGCGTACCCCTGCAGCTCCTACAGGAATCCTCAATGCAACTCACTTCCTAATTATGCTAAAACTCTAAACATCCTCTCTCCCTTGTTAGATCTCATTGAGGAAGCACCAGAGGTCGCACCAACAAACCCACTGGCTGAACGGCTGAAACAAGGAGCAGGTAAAACTTCACCTCCTTCTCATTATTAGACGCCAGTTTTACTTTTGAGAGTCCAACACAGTCGGCTCAGCTCTGAGACCGTCGGACATTATTGACAACGTTCCTGATAATGTTATTCGCTCATTCTAACACCATGACGTCCTTGTTACCCCAGTGCAGAGGACCCCTGCTGACTCCCATGGTAAACCCAGTGCACTTTTATTTGGAAACCTACGTCTGGAATGTGCATCTTACATGTTTGTCGTCTGTCAGTGTATGTTGTTCGCTGCACAAATGAAGACTTCATGTGTAACAGAATTCCTTTACAAATGTCTTTTAACAACATCGTCCAGCTTCTGATTCGTAACAGGCAGAATGTTTTATGTGGAATGACTTGAATGGATTCCTTTCTAAAAAAAAAACAACAGCTTTGTTCCAGAAAGCATGCAGTCGAATGAGAAGAAGTCAATATTATCATTGCATGGAGAGGTCACTGACGATCGTGTTTGACACGTGTAATCCAACTGGGGCGTCTGCTCTCTTCCCAGCATGCAACGTTCTCTACATCAACTCAGTGGAGATGGAATCCCTGACGGGCCCTCAGGCTGTTGCCAAGGCCATATCTGAGACACTGGCTACTGCTTCTCCACCTACTGCCACCGTCGTGCACTTCAAGGTGTCTTCACAAGGCATCACGCTCACCGACAACCAGAGGAAGTAAGTCCGACTGCCGCCTGGAACCGTGTCCAACAAACGTCACCAGATAGTTGAATAATGCTTCACGAGTGTAAACATGGCACGACATCTGGAGAGGCTGCTGCAGACGTATTTTAAGAGAGCTTTTGACGGCTCAAGACAGCTTAAGACAAATGTGTTTTTAAAGGGCAAGTATCAGCACGAGCCGCTGCACACAATCAGAGCCATAAATAACAGAATTAAAGGATTAAGGCCGCTACGTATTATTTACTACAGCTCTTCAACTTCTGCTTTGTGTCGAGTGTCAAACAAATTCCAAGAGATGCGTCTGTATCGCCAGAATCATTGGCCAGTTTAAGCTTATCGCTGATATGTGCGTCTGTTTTTATCAACAGATGACCAGAAATTGTAGCAGATAAAGAGTCCAGAGCAGCTGTTATTTTACTGTAAATCTTCTCAGTTATTACACATAAACAAGTCTTTAGAAGGAAATGTGTCTTTTTAGGAAAGCTGTTAATGTTAAGAAACAATATTGTCATTTTACTTTAAATTATGGGGCTTAAAATTCACTCCTGCACACTGTTTTCTTCAGCTCCCTGCCTCACCTGAAATAAAGAGCGTCTCCTCTCACAGTGGAGGTAGATTTTTAGGAAATAAGGTCCTACTATGTGATGCATCACACACACTCTGATGCGCAGCTTGAACAGCAGGTGCTGCTCTGGTGCTCCATCTGTGTCTGCATGGCGCGTGATGAAGCACAGGACTGTAGGTCATCTGTGTTTTGGAAGCGCTTAAAGGCAGATCTACTGCACAGGTATGAAAAGAGACTGGAAATGTGAGAATGCACTACAGGTTGTGTTTACAGGTGTGCAGCGTGGGTGATGGAAACTCTGACATTCACTGTATAGAAAGATGGATGTGTTTTCCGGTGAGCAGTTTTGAAGCTAAATGTGATGGCTCTAGGCGGCACCATTTGGGCAGTGCCTGACTTCTTTTAAGGCCAGTGTCCTGCTCTCTGTAGGGTCTTTGATGACCCATAAAGGTGGACATTTCAACATGGGGGTCTGTGGTGATGGAGCCGCTTTTGGAGCCAGCCTCAGGTGGCCATTCGAGAATGTGGTTTTATTTTTCAGCCTCAAATGTTGCTGCTTGTGTCAGAGTGACTGAGGTACTGCTTTTTGTGCAGCTTGGCTCTAGTTAGTTGGAAAAAGTAGGAACTAGCAACCTGACGTGTGTGAAAAAAGACGACTCGCTGTTGCACTGCAGTCAGAATCCTTGTTCACATCGGTGTGAAAGTCACAGTTCGGACACAACGAAGACGCTTGTTAAAGTTCAGATCGATCAATGGCTGTGATAATAACCTCCATATTGAACTAACAATATGCACTGTAAAGCGTATTGTCTGCCTCCCTACACACAGCACAGATTACCTTTTGTGTTTTTCATCTCTGTGTCGTTTGCTTCTTTTACAGGCTTTTCTTCCGACGCCACTATCCTACCAACACTGTCACGTTCTGCGATATCGACCCTCAGGACAGAAAGTGAGTACAGGGACACATGATGTAAAATTATTATGTTGTGGCCGAATAAAATGTCAGATTGATGACTTAAATAGTCAAAGGACACCTCTTGCTGTATTTAACCTCTGCCCTCCATTTCATCTGTTCACATTTAGATTGTGCTTTTTATTTATTTATTTTTTTTAAAGATGTTAAATTACATTTTTTTTATCAACTCTTTTTAGATGGAGCAAGCCTGAGGGAGGCACAGCCAAGTAAGTAAACCTTTCAGTAGCCGTGGTGCTTTTGTGGAGCGTCACTTTGCTGTTGCCTTTAATGTCACATTCTTCGAGCTGTAGTGAATAAATCTCTTAACGTTGGCTTTCCAGGCTGTTTGGGTTTGTGGCTCGTAAGCAGGGAAGCACAACAGACAACGTCAGCCACCTCTTCGCTGAGCTGGACCCCGACCAGCCTGCCAGCGCCATCGTCAACTTCGTCTCCAAGATGATCGCCTCGCAGAAACGATGAGAGCTGTCCGCAAAAAGAAAACAACAACAAACCCTGGCGCTTTTTTAAAAACGACTTTGGTTATTTTCTTTCCTTTTAACCACAGACACTTTCTGTTTTGGACAATTTAGCATTTGGTTTTTACGCGTCACCTTATTTTTCCTGCTCTTTTACATTTAAGCGGACGTGTGTGTGTGCGTGCGTGTGTGTGTGTGTGTGTGTGTGTGTGCACGTGGTTGTATATGTGAGCAAATGAAAGAGAACCAGACAGCGAGCGTGCAGTGTGTTTGTGCGGCTTGCATGCATGTGCTTTTATTCTTGGACGGACTCCAGAACGGACCAGAGGAAGTGCAGGATGGGGCGTGGCTGTGTGTGACAATGGGACGGGAGGTGATTGAATCTCCCCGGCAGGGTAACTCGTGAACAGGAAAGGGGGAATGACATTGTGCGTGCAAATGTTTTTTTTTTTTTAAGTGATTGTTTCTTTTTTTTTTTTCAAGAAGAAGTCAAGTAGTGTGACGTAAAGGTGGATTGTAAATCTATCAGGCTTTTGACTGGTCAACCAAAGATTTTAAAAAAGTAGTCAGGGCGTGTATAGTGTGCCACTGTCGGAGGGTCGGAAGTATTCTTTTTGTAAAACAAATATGGCTGCTTAATCAAAAATACTGTTAAAAACTATTTCACTCTGTATGTACTGATACTGTAGGTCAATTCTGCACCTGCGCCACGTTGCAAAAAAAGGCGTCGTCGGACATTTTTTTGCAGCTGGTGAGGTCTGTGTAAATATTCTAGATTGCTTTTTGAGTAGGACTGTTATAGATGACATTTGGTGCCTGACTTTGTTTCCTAAATGCAGAGCTTTTTAAGAAAAAAAACGACATTAATTTCATCCACGCTGTCTTAAATATGCAACTAGCCAAACTTGTTCAATTAGTTTTGTTCTCCAAAATGACACGACAGGTCCTTGCGTGTTTTGTAGTGTAGCTGAAGATGTTGAGACCGATGTTGTTCCTCTGAAGTGCAGCTAGAGTCTGAAGAAATCAGCTGAACCTCGACTTCTCTGCGGTGTTAACGCAGAAAAGCGTCGGTGAAGTGTTGCATCCACACCGTCTCCGGATTGTCAGACAAGCAAAGAGGAGCTTCCCGTCTGCCGCCATCCTCTGCTCAGTCACGTGGCCACAGTATTTTACTCACAGCCGAAGGGCCCAGAGTACATTTGTGAGGACAATCTTTAGAGAAAGGTCTTGTCCGCCTAAACTGCTCCGTAGTTTTCTCTGTTGAAAGTTTCCGTCAACAGAAAGAAGCTCTTTGCGTCAGCCAGCCAAAACTGTTAACACTCAACCTACCCAAAAGTAAGCTATACATATAAATATACATATATAGATATATATATATATATATAAACTTCCAAACAGTGACTTAAGATATTTATTTTTTTGCTTTGTTGCTCTATGTTATCTTGTATACATGTATTATAAGGTATACATCAAGATTACTGAAAGCGAGAAGAAAAGATTGCTTTTATTTTGGCTAAAGTCAAGTGCGTTGACATATATAAGGTGTAAAGTGTGTGCATTTAAAAGTGTATCACTGTTGTTTTTTGAATGTTTTTTTCACAGCATTATTTTTCTTTTGTTAACATTCTCGTTTTCTTGGGGAGCCGTTTTTTTGATTTTTTTTTTTTTTTTAGAGAGGAAATATTTTGTATGAAAGATTGTTGTTACTAAAGTCCAAATTGGAGTGATCCTAAAGTTATGCCAACACAATTGTTTTTATTAACTTAAACCTGCCTAGAAAATACATTGTCCAAGTTTAGCACTTAAATGTTGAAGTATTATCAGTGTGTTTCTACTTGTCAAAAGAGAAGATGTGGATGTTGACGGACCCATTTCAATGTCATTGCATGTGTAGATGCAGACTCGCTAGCTCCTGAAACTAAACCTCACAAGGTCTCCGAAACAGGTCTGGAGTTTGTAATAGGAAAAAACCAGTCAGTTCAATAAGTAGCTGCTGCCCTCATGTGGTGGAGAACGATCACTACAAAGGAGCCACCTCTATTCTAATACAGTGTTTTAGCTGTTTTTATGCCACGTCGGATGTTTGAGTTCATATAAATTGATCACTGGGATGACAAATTTTTAAAGCAACTGTAATAGCAATATCGTTGACTAATGAGTTTTAAATCCCATATAAGGAATGAGCAGTTTAAATGACGTCTCCCTCCTTTAACCCAGAAGAACCGGCTGCCAGCATGATGTAAAATAAATAAGGGTTAGTTTGGGCTCCTACATTAACTCAAATGTATCTCTTTAAAATTAAAAAAAAAAATACAGCACTTACAGGGCTTTTATATTTGACTAAAATGTTCCATTATTTATTAGCAGGAGCTTGCATGCTCAAGTTAAACGATAACCTTTAACGCTGCTGCCTAATCTGCACACAACAAGTCTTATCCAACCCAGCCTTCTCCACAAAGATGCCCATAGGTAGTTATCAGGACTGTGTCTTTACTCAGCTTATAAGAGGAAAAAAAAAAAAAAAAGGCAACCCTTTTTTTTTTGCCTACATAATGCTTGTTGGGGTAAATGGACTTCCTAAACTTCAAAACTGAATGTTAGCCATTTGTTTGCCAAGATGGAAACTCCAGTGGCATCTGCCCACTTTGACAGATCAGTCTGGACTGTAGAATGTGTGTGAATGAGCTCCTATGCCCGCATAGAGCTTTGTCATTTTTTTTTGTTTGCTACATTGTATGGCTTTTACTATTTCTGATGGAAAAAAAAACACATTAAAAAGCAGTACAAATCAAAATGAATGTCAGTCTGTTCTTTCGATATGAAGCAGGTCGGCTTCGTTGTTTAGAAATTTGACATTTCTGGTTAATTTGCTGTTAAAATGCGTGCGCTGTGTTTTGAATTTCTCTTGCTCTTTAGTCGCTTGTGAGGTGTTTTACCATATTTATGTATATTTGTCAATCCAGACGATTGCTGTCAAACTTGTTTGTCCTCATGACTGAAAACGAGATTATAAAGCACATAGAAGGTCATTCTACCGCTGTGCACACGAGGTTGTCGTCTTTCTGCGACACATCAGCTTCAGAAAATATTTACACCTCTTCACTTTTCACATTCATAAATATATTTAAAAATTTAAGTCGAAAGAATGTTTCCTCATCAATCTATGCAACATATCCGCTCATGACGAAGTGAAAATGCGTTTTTAGAAGTGTTTGCAACCTTAGAGAAAATTATAAACTGAAATTTCTTTTGCAAAAGCATTTAGATGCTTTTCCATGGCATTCCAAATTATTGAATTAGATTATTTTTTTGCTGTAATTATCCTTAAGATAAGTCTAAAACTTGATTAGAATCCATCTGTACCTAATATAATTGACTGTACACTGTTTAAAAGGAGCACACCTGTGCATGGGTCCCACAGTTCACACTGCATGTTAAAAACTAAGCCATCAAGTCCAAGAAACTCTGACTAGACCTCTGTTAAACTGTAAAAATGAGGCAAGCTATAAATTACAATAAGGGTAAACGTGTATTTCTAAAGCTTTGAATGTTCCCGGAAGCACAGTGGCCTCAAGAAGTGTGAAACCAACGTGACTCTTGATTAAATTCATCAGCCGTGTAAACTGAGAAACCAAGCAAGAAAGGCCTCGGTCAAGGAGGTGATGAAGAATCCAACAATCCTTCAAAGGAATGGAGGGAATGCAGCTACATCTGTAAGTATGAGGAAAAAGATTCTTTAATCTGAAGAGACAAAAATCACACTCATTAGCCAAAAGTCCAAGCATTTTAACTGGCTAATGTCGGCCTCGCCCTACGGGAGTTTAAAATCCTATGGTTTCTTATCCATGTGTAGCTACACTCTTAAAGGTAACACCTACGCTTACTTGAATCACATTAGCGTATTTTATTTCTCTTTGTCCTGTTCATTTAACTCATTTTTCCTTAAAGAGTTATAAAACTAAGTACACTTGAGTAAACTGGACTTGAAACGTTCTGTTCCTGGACTGAACACAGAGCTCACATGTGCAGTAGAGAAGTGCTGGAGAAGTTTCCAGAAACTTTACGGGGCGGCAGGTGGTAGAGCGGGTCGGTCAATGATTGGATGGTCGGCGGTTCGATTCCGCCCTGTAACCTGTGTCATGGTCGTTGTGTGTCGTTGTGCTCTTGGGCAAGACACTTCACCCACGTTGCCTGGTGTGAATGCCTGTGGATGGATTGTTTGAGGTGGTGGTCAGAGGGGCAGAATGGCAGCCAGGCCTCTGTCAGTCTGCCCCAGGGCAGCTGTGGCTACCTTCCT